CGTATATATACTATATTACTCCACCCCATATGTTAATCTGGCCACGGGAACTATATATACATTGCGTATATTCACTGTATTGATATATTATACAGAAGGTATATATTGTAGTTATACGATCTTTGGCAATATATACCTACACCAGGTGGCGCGCATATTGTTGCCACGGACGCTTGCGGTGTTGTGTCGTCAAATAATGTTGTAAAAATAAGGAAGCAAGTATGTAACTAAGTATTTATGGTTTAGCATTATAATCTACGTAACATACTCTTGGATATAGAATCCGTCTTAGAAGCGAACGGTTGGCGATAGGCTGATTATGCAAAGCAAAGCGTTCAGTGAATTGGTGTTTTCATGAACTCAAAAACTGGCCGCCCGCGGCCGCCGCCCTAGCTCTAGCCTCTACTCTAGCAACGGTTTTCATTATCTTTTATAGTAACAGGCCGAAATGCTTTTGCAACAGGCCGTGGGGAGTTGCGGCACCCCCCAAAATTGTTTTTTAAACTTAGATGCTCTGAGCCTGCAATCTGGTGTATTCTGAGCTGCAGTGCCAGTTAAACAGACGCATTTGGATTACAGTATGGTCCTTTTTTCCAATTTGGTTTCTCCTGGTACATTCAGAGTTGATCAAAAGTTTCAAATTATGACGATTCGTAATTATAAGAGTTAGACAATTAATGTACCGTAAATAGCGTACTCAAAAACAAAAAACTGCTCTTGTGCACATAACATGCACACAAATATACTCAACGTGATTTATTATTAGTAACTCATAAAACACTCACTTGGAGAATAATTAGAGCAAACTAAACCCTTTCTTCTTTTTTTAAAATTATACTTGAGCCAATTGTAACCGGCCGAAACAGCAGAGTAGACGGTCAATTCGGCCGGTGGCCGGTTCCTAATGAGAACACTGCTCTAGTAGTGCTCATAGGGTCTATGTCCCCCAGAGTACTGCCGGAATATACCGGCACGTACCGATACTCTGGTAACTATTTGATATGGTTAGGGTTAGGGTTAGGGAGTAGGCGTAAACGACTCCCTAAACTCGTTATAGTGGAGTAGGCGTAAGCGACTCCCTAAGACTCGTTATAGTGCGAGTAGGCGTACAATCCGAAGAAAAAAGTAAATGCAATGTAATTAAATAGGAGACCAACATTATTATATAGTATATATTGTATTTGGAATAGGTAGAATGGGAAACGTGGTTAAAATGTGAATATGACTGCAAGAGTACCAGTCCACTCAACAGCCTTTTCTTGCACTTCTTTGTGGCAAGAGATGAAATCTCAAGGGAATGTGCCATGGAGACTATTGAAACTGTATTTGGGGCTGTACCCGAACTACAGTTCATCTACATAACAGCACGAACTTCCAACGTGCTTGGTGAGCCATTTAGATTTCATGAAATCTTGTGTAAGCAAAAGGAAATATCGTGAGCAGTACTAGCATGTCAACTTTATGCTATTCGAATCTGTAAGAAGGGCCCGTAGGGTCTATGTCTCCCTGACCTCTGTTTGACCTGGCTTGTTTAGCTATTTCTGACTAACCCTAACCCTAACCCTAACCCTAACCATATCAGATAGTTACCAGGGTACGTTCAGGGTCAGAAATAGCTAAACGAGCCAGGTCAAACAGAGGTCAGGGAGACATAGACCTTATCTGCGTAAGAAGGCACTTCATGTGATAAACACATCGATTCATCTTTTTAACAACCGTTTGACAGCATGTTCGATTATAATAAAGTATGTGAAATTTCTCTTCCAGGTCTACCTCTGTCCAGCTTGTTTGAGATGGTACAGAAACATGAAGCAGCTGAAACATCTGTGGCATTGTACTGCTGTTGTAGACACAAGCACAATCCTGTTCTCTACGTTCGTCCTGCAAGGTCACTACATTTCATTTATACGTTTTTTCATCCTAAGAATGATTTAGAATCGTGTGGATTTCTAAGAGTTGTGTGTGTTTTGTGACTGTAGACAAGTAATCATAGCTGCATTTTATGTTGTCTAGGCAATTCTAATAATATATAGCAAACCGTAACCGTAAAATGTGAAACAACATAAACTGGTTACAGCATTGCTAAACTGGATTCTCCATCCACTAGATATTTGCATCACCCAAGCAGGGTGCGAAATTAACGTGAGTCCGGAGTCAAATACTCCCTGATTTACTGTCGGACTCCCTGAGTTGACATATGCAGGAGTCTGTGTGACTCCCTGAAAATGCTGCTATACTAACTAGTTCGTTCCAGAGCACGACCTCGTGGAATTACCGTATTTTTCAACAAATGTCAAGGATTCTTTAAAATAAGCACATGCCTTATTGTTAATATCTTTAGTTTTGAACTAAAGACTACGGACTCCTTCATTTTGCTTCGGACTCCCTTGTTCAAAAGTTAATTTCTACCCCTGCCCAAGTCAGCCTGGATAAGTTCAGTTAGTACAACTAAAATAAACAATAATTCATTAGGGTCATTCAACTGTTCATAAGAAAGGAATTTATATGGAGAAAGCGCATCACACTAGGTTCTGCTCTTTGGAACTGATCAGTCGAGTAGGGAAAAATGATACAGGAAACCAAAATGAATATAGGCAACTTACATGTTACACTTGTCTTGTAGGTAGCATATGATATAAAACGAAATCCAAAATGAGTTGTAATTAATCCTAGATTTTAATTGCAGAGTAGAGGACAATGATGACTTGGTGCCCTTATTCCGGCAGCAGAGTGACATACTCGAGAAGACGTATGGCTCGTACTTTCTAGCTGAGATGATCGATTCGAAGGACAACGATCACAAGTCCCTTGTTGCTGAGGTAGTTATATGCTACACGTGTGACTCGCTTTATTACCAAGGTTTCTGTTTGGTGCATATCGGTGCTGTGCAGTGTTGCACCTCATCCCCTGTGTGGTCACCATATTAGTAAGTGCTGTGAATAAGTAGCAGAAGGAGACATGACTGTAGTATATTGATAATAGGATCACTGTGGAACAGGAGTGGGCAACTATTTTTTTCAATATTGCTGCAGTTGTGGCAAATGACTAGTGAAATTTAACGGCACTATTTTTAGTATTACAGTCTGACCTCCTTTATCCGGCCATCCGTTATCCGGAAATCTCTATTAACCAGCTGCGATCTCGCAGTGTATGTTCTCTGTTTTTAG